TGGAGGAAAGACTCAATAATGATGAGCCGGTGATCAGAATAGCTAATGAATTAGCGCTAATGACTCTCACGAAAGCACTGTTCTGTGAAGACTTACAAAGAATTGCATTCATAGTACAAAAGACATTATCTCATGCGATGGCAAGTATGCAGAACTTGCAGTCGTTTGAAGTCTGGCACAGACATCAAGTGCTTAAAGAGCTGCTAATGTTTATCGTGGAAGCGGTGAGTAATCTGTTAGACAACGCTCAGGACGACGCATGGCTTGACCTGAGTGTCGCCGATCGCAAGCACGTGGCCTCCAAACTGCTGAAGGGCTTGGAATTGAGTGCACTCTTGTTGGCCGACAACACCAATCAGGACGGATCCTTCGCTGTCGCCAAACCCAATGTCTGTAAGTGTCAACCAAAACCAAATCTTTGCTTGTTTAATCATTACACGGCCTCCCAGTGCCTCAAATCAAGTATATAGTCATTAATCTGTGTTTTATACACTTGCAGTGGTCTCAGTTCATGTGCTCGACACACGAATGCCTATTAGCCTGCAATTCCCTACAGTGGAGGATACCCGGGGCACTATTGAATGGATTCGTATGGAGGATTCACTTTTTCTGCCGGCACNTAGTCATTAATCTGTGTTTTATACACTTGCAGTGGTCTCAGTTCATGTGCTCGACACACGAATGCCTATTAGCCTGCAATTCCCTACAGTGGAGGATACCCGGGGCACTATTGAATGGATTCGTATGGAGGATTCACTTTTTCTGCCGGCACAGGCACTGCTTGAATACTCCAAAGATGGTAATTGAAATCATAGATTGTTATATGGCTTGTAATGTAATTGTAATGTAATGTGGCTTTTATTATGTTTTGTGGCATAGGTTTGGCGAGAGTAGCCTTTTTGGCCTATTATCGCATCGAAGACCTCCTCAAACCCGACGTTTACTCGACTAATGATCGAAAGGATGAGACGTCTCTTTCGTATTCAATGTTTAATAGATTACAAAACATGACAACGACTTCTCTGGCAATTAATTCTCGAGTAATCGGAGCGTCGCTCAGTAATGGGCGCACCGGTGATCACAAGAACATCCAATTATCACAACCCATTGCAATCATCTTAAGACATATCCAAGAGGAGAACGTATCGAACCCGAAGTGTGTCTATTGGGATGTGGAGCTCAGGGATTGGCTGTCAGAAGGCTGTTGGATGGAGTCGACGAATGCCACGCATACTGTCTGTATGTGCAACCATTTGACACATTTCGCACTACTGATGGACATCCGGCCCATCGATCTGTTGGTGGCGGACAGTAATTGGCAGAAATTGGTTGTCATAATCGGCTGTGCGATTGCAATGTTAAGTCTCGTATTTATAGCGACAATAGTGTGTGTCGTGAGCGCCGGCAATACCGAAGCCGTTTCAATCCACCGTAATCTTTGTGTCACTCTTTTAATCGTCGAAATGACTTATTTAATCGGAATCTATAGAACTGATGTTCCCGTGTTGTGCGGCTTAACTGCCGGTTCCCTCCACTTCTTCCTATTGTCCACACTTTTGTGGACATTCTTAGAGTCATTCGATCTATACTTAAACCTCATAGACATGTATGAAAGCATCAAATCCGCCAAAAGATTGATTTGGTATTATTTGGTGGCATACGGCGGACCCGCGCTTATTATACTCATTGCCTTATTCATCGATCCGTCGAGTTATGGCACACGAACCCACTGTTGGCTCAGATCTGATAATTACTTTGTCTTGAGTTTTGTGGGCCCAGCCGTGGGCATAATTTTCGGCGGACTCGTGTTTGTGTTAATCTCATGCTTTGTTGTACTCAACAATTCAAATACAAGTACAACCATTAAGTGCATCGATGAGACTAAGCTGGATGTGACCAAGAATGGCATCAAATGGGTAGTCGTATTGCTATTCCTGCAGTGCCTCACCTGGACTTTCGGTCTCATTCACACCAACACTCAGAACTCAAACTCAATCGCAGTTTGTTTTACACTTTTGAACATAAGTTTAGGATTTTTTGTGACATTATTTTGTATAATAAAAACTGATAACATTCAACATCACCGACTCATCAGAAGTTTGCCTCTTTTGAGCATTTGTTTTGATGACATTAACTGTTCCACGACTAAGACTAACGCCACGGTTAGCGACTCATACACTAACCGACCAGTTGTGACACAAGTGACTGCCACACAAGTGGCCGCCGGTATTGTACAGCACCCGCACCAACAAACACTTCCAGTCCTTCAAGTTGAACAACAGGTGAATATTGTATCTCCAAATTCATGTGCCACTGCATCCCTGCATCAAAATCAAATCCCTATACGTTTTTGCCCTATTAATAGCACAGGTATTGCATCCCAACCGCACGTCTACTCTATGTTGTAATGCATGAATCAAGCGATCATATAATTGAAGCTTTAATTGCAAATTAGTGCCAAACTTTGTTTCGATGTCTCCTTATATTCTGCTTATAATCTATTTTCTGGATTTTTGTAACAATGAATTAATCGGTTGTATTCTCTATTATCTGCTTCCATGTCCAGCCCCGCCCTCAGCTCATGAGCTCGCCAATCGAGGACAGGTGTGGCACACAACCCGATCGCCCATATACTTCAGCGCAACGACAAACTAATACATTGTATAACTCTAAGAGCGGCACAACCGGACCTATTCTGGTGAACCCAATCAACTCAGTTCCTACTGTTAACGTCTCCATCAGTGACATCAGTGCAGCCGCACTGGTCAGCCATAATTTGGCTGATTATGAATCAAAACTGCAACAAATCAGACACAATAGCCTCAGCAGACAACCGAAGACCAAACGAAAGATTCGCGTCAATCATAACAACCATTTGGACGACACTTTCAGATATGGGCCACAAATGCATTCAAATCTCTACAACCAATACATCGAACATATCTACGAGTCTATAGACAGCGACTCTTTAGGTTCCGGTGTTTATGACCGACAAAACCGTTTCACTCGTCGCCCACCGGCTGTTATGTCCACAATCAATGACTTCTACGCCGGCGCCAACATCACTGTCAACCCTACCTCTGCTGTCGATGACGACTGGAGTCAGAACTCATCGTCAAGTTATGGTCCACTCTATGACGACCGGCCACTCCTCATAGGCTCACAATCCATTAACAACAGCCCATCGCTGAACCAACCGCTCATATCTCAAGACTGCAGTTGTCCTCCAGTGCACCACAACTCAAATTTCAATATTTATGACAAATCTAAAGATGAGATGAGAAGCTTTCGCACCGCTTCTCGGGTCAGAACCTTCGACACCCGACACATGACTATGCCTTCAAACGGGGCTAATATAACCGCTTGGAATATATACCCCACTTCTAGTGCAGCCAATCCTGACTTACCCGACTTGGTTCAGGACCCCATCGATGCCTCCAATAATATCACTACAGTTTTTGTGGGCGAAAGCAATCCATCGCATAAAAGACAAAACTTAAGTCCAGATATCGATGTTAATCACGAGAGCACACAAAACCAATCAATGCCACAATTTATGAGTTCTTCACACAATCTTAAGTTTAAGGCTTATTGTTAAGATTGCACTTCAATTCACTCATTACTGTATATTCAAAGTTATTAAAACAAATTGTATTCAAATTGTAATGAAAAGGTTTTATAAGATATCGGACACCAAATTCTAATTAATCTGATGTTACGTTAATGTAATTGAAATATAATTAAAAATTATAACTAGTCTTGTAATCAATTGACTACTAGTCTAATAGTAATGAAATTTCTATAACAGACTACCAGTTTGATTGATTTGTGCCAAAACATCAAAACTGAATTTAAGCTCTTAAAACTCTTTAAACCCTTTGTATGCAATCAATTGTTTGCCAAACAATAGATGCAAATATTTATAACTTATGATAGAAATGGACTATCACTTAGTTTTTATCTTTTCATTTGTATAAATTAATTGTACAAATTTTGCCAAATATTGTAAATTTAAATCAATAAAGAATATTCCTTAAGAGTTTTGTGTTATTTGTTATTAATAATAATATTTACAAGATTTGCTACGATCAATACTAAATAATACTGTTATTTAGACTGTAGCATGGTTAGGCACTTAGACAAAATTAAGATATCATTTTAGGATTGCAATGTTTAATTGGTGACGCCAACCAATAAAATATTTGCCATGTAACTTTTTATAAGATATCCATGTCTACTTATATTGAAATTAATGCAGTATTTAAGAAATAATTAAGATTTAGTGTATCAGTGATTCAGTGTTTTAACAGTTAACCTTTTATGTCATTTTTATTATTTACTTTAACTAGAATAAAAGAGCCAGGTTTAGTTTGAAAGTATAAGTACACCTGAACTGATCATAGCTTGCATTCTCTGCCAGAATACTACGGATACCGTAATATCAGTGACTGTGAGTCTTATAGAGAATTGTGTTCAAAGTGTTGGCATATTGTGTGAGTGAATGCATTGACACGATTGCATTGAAAGACTGCATGAATAGTAGAATTGATTACTGTATTACTCTATCATATCATAAGTAATGTTTACATCTGACTGACAGTCAATGCAAACTCATGGAGAGTAGGCTATGAAGAACTGGTCCCACAATTCGTACAGGTCATATGCATTGTAATAGACCTCATCATCACTACTAAGCCATACATCTCTTCCTGTCTCTCCTATACTGACGATTGGATTGAAAGAGTGCACCGAAAGGCAGACCAGTGTTTCTAATTACTGATTAACTTACTTAATTAAGTATATATCAATATCAGATAAAGTTGTTTGTAACCTGAGTAATAACTTTTCGTTAACTAACAGTTTTATCAGAGTTTCCGTAACTCTTCTTCTCTTGAAATGATCCAATTCTTGAGAACCGGATTTGAAGTCAACGTCACGAAGCAATACATGTCACGAACCGCTCATCTCTGCTCCAAGTCTTCACTAAACCTCTTGTATTTGAGATCTCTTTTTATTCGCCACTTATTTCACTAAATCATTGAAAAAGCATTTATTGTAATAAAGCTATCATTTCATACAATCAAAAGTCATTTGTTGTGCCATAAGAAGTGCATAATGTTTGGTGCGATCGCAAGACTCGGTGTCAGATCTCTGACGAGACCAACGGTTTCGATGCCTTTTGCCAAACGAGTCGACAATCGTCGAGTGAATTTGGGCTCATTTTGGATGCAAAGCGCAAAGTTAGCCATCATTTGGTTGTTTAATAATCTTTTTACCATATCTTTGTCTCCGAAGGCTTTCTGTGTATTCTTCGGACACATCTCTAAAAGACAATGAAGTGGAGGTCGAGACCATGAATGTGGAGCGACAAGAATTGATTGCTTTCGATGAGACCTATCGAAGAATTTTTAAAGATATGATTCCGAAGACCAATGAATTGGAATTAATGGAATCGTTCCGATGGATAGAAAAGGTAACACATATTTGATGATAGCTTAAGATATTTGATGAATAATCTGATGCTCTGATGGTAACGAACAGGTCGTTCAATACAACGTTCCGAATGGCAAACGAAACCGTGGATTAGCTCTTGTAATGTCTTATAGACTATTAGCTCCCATTAGAGAGCAAACGCCTGAGAACCTAGAGTTGGCCCGAATCTTGGGATGGGCTGTTGAACTACTTCAGGCATATTTCCTGGTCGTCGACGATCTCGTGGACCAGTCCATCACCAGAAGAGGACAACTCTGTTGGTATCGACAGGTATGACACTGTAATGACCATTGATTGATACAATCATTCATCAAATGTCTATCCTGTAGGATGGGGTGGGACTGACTGCATGTAACGACGCTATACTAATAGAGTCGTGTATTTATTACATTATAAAACATCACTTCAAAGGAAAGCCATATTACACCGATATTCTGGATCTAATGCTCGAAACCACTCGTTTTACATCTTATGGCCAGTGTTTGGATCTATTGTCAAACCCTCCGGGAAGGGGACGGAAACCTGACTTTGATTCCTATACTGCAGAGCGTTATGCAGCTATTGTTAAATACAAGACCGCGTTCTACTCGTTCTGCCTACCGGTGCGTTTGGCTATGTTTATGTCCAACTTGTCGGACCCGAACGCCCACTCGGACGCTGAGAAAATCCTCGTAAAAATGGGTCACTTTTTTCAAGTGCAAGACGACTATCTCGACTGTTTCGGTGACCCCGAAGTAATTGGCAAAGTAGGCACTGATATACAGGACGGCAAGTGCTGTTGGCCTGTCATCACTGCCCTCCAGACCGCCAGTCCTGAGCAGAGGAAACAACTGCAAGACAATTATGGCGTCCATTCTGTCGAAGCGGTCGCTCGAGTGAAGGCTATCTATAAAGAGCTGAATATCGAGGAATTGTATCGACAGTACGAAGACTTCACATTCACTGAGATCTGTCATCTCATCGATCAGTTGACCATCTCTTCAAAACTGCCGAAAAATATTTTCTATGGATTTCTAACTAAAATCCACAGAAGAAACAAATAATTTGACATTTGTTTCACTTATAAGATTGTTTTAATCATTAACTTTACAATTAAGTTATTAAATAATTTCCGATTAAATATACATTATGTACGGTATTGCCAAAAGGGAATGGGATTTGTGTTAAGAGACAATTGTCTTCTTAGCAAATATTGATTTGTCCTCAAAACGATGTTAAGTTTGAGTTGAATACAGGAAACTATACTAATTGTTAACCATTTCCTCATTCATTTCATTCAGTTATCAATTGCTCTTTAAATATAAGTTATCTCTGAATATAATTTTATTTATTAATAAAACTTAATATCAAATCAATGAAAGTGTCGACTAATTAGTGAAGGGAAGAGTCATTGGCTGCGGGTTCTGGAGGTATGACATGACCACCGCTGAGATGGACAGCATGAATGAGGACAGGATCTGTTTGGTGTCATCATTGATGCGACAGTTGGTGAAGGAGACGGCCGAGCAGTACAGTGCGAGCCATGCACTCCATTTGAGCTTGATCATCAGACCACACATCGACAGCAACATCGACAACACGTTCATATAGTCCGGCAGAGGGTCGTCACCAGCACTTCCACTCCCGATCGGTGCCGCCTTATATCTGATGCAAACCCAACACATATAGACCATTGTCAGCCATGACATAGTGTTAGACATTGTGTACATACCTCTGGATCTTATCAGCTCTTCGGGGATCATTGTTTGTGGTCAACACAGGGGACGACATCATCGGTGGTGTGATTGCAGTCACAACTCATTCACAACTCAATCACAACTCATTGACTCAATGCTTTTGCACACAAATAACGCTAAACTTATGCCACAAACTCTAAGAATTGTGTGGATTCTGGACCAGAATTGATTGCAATTCCAGTAAATTGACCCAATGTTTAGATATCTAATGCTATTATAAAGTAGGTTTAAGCTAATCATTTAATAATATCAGTAATAATAACAAAATTGGTGAAGTTTTTCAATAATATACTATATATTCTAACTGTATTTTGCATAATTACATAAGTAAATTATCATGACACTTTACNTCAAAGTCAGGTTTCCGTCCCCTTCCCGGAGGGTTTGACAATAGATCCAAACACTGGCCATAAGATGTAAAACGAGTGGTTTCGAGCATTAGATCCAGAATATCGGTGTAATATGGCTTTCCTTTGAAGTGATGTTTTATAATGTAATAAATACACGACTCTATTAGTATAGCGTCGTTACATGCAGTCAGTCCCACCCCATCCTACAGGATAGACATTTGATGAATGATTGTATCAATCAATGGTCATTACAGTGTCATACCTGTCGATACCAACAGAGTTGTCCTCTTCTGGTGATGGACTGGTCCACGAGATCGTCGACGACCAGGAAATATGCCTGAAGTAGTTCAACAGCCCATCCCAAGATTCGGGCCAACTCTAGGTTCTCAGGCGTTTGCTCTCTAATGGGAGCTAATAGTCTATAAGACATTACAAGAGCTAATCCACGGTTTCGTTTGCCATTCGGAACGTTGTATTGAACGACCTGTTCGTTACCATCAGAGCATCAGATTATTCATCAAATATCTTAAGCTATCATCAAATATGTGTTACCTTTTCTATCCATCGGAACGATTCCATTAATTCCAATTCATTGGTCTTCGGAATCATATCTTTAAAAATTCTTCGATAGGTCTCATCGAAAGCAATCAATTCTTGTCGCTCCACATTCATGGTCTCGACCTCCACTTCATTGTCTTTTAGAGATGTGTCCGAAGAATACACAGAAAGCCTTCGGAGACAAAGATATGGTAAAAAGATTATTAAACAACCAAATGATGGCTAACTTTGCGCTTTGCATCCAAAATGAGCCCAAATTCACTCGACGATTGTCGACTCGTTTGGCAAAAGGCATCGAAACCGTTGGTCTCGTCAGAGATCTGACACCGAGTCTTGCGATCGCACCAAACATTATGCACTTCTTATGGCACAACAAATGACTTTTGATTGTATGAAATGATAGCTTTATTACAATAAATGCTTTTTAAATGATTTAGTGAAATAAGTGGCGAATAAAAAGAGATCTCAAATACAAGAGGTTTAGTGAAGACTTGGAGCAGAGATGAGCGGTTCGTGACATGTATTGCTTCGTGACGTTGACTTCAAATCCGGTTCTCAAGAATTGGATCAAAAGTTCTCTTCTTCTCAATGCCTTTGAGACTATTTTGACAATCAATTGCTTTTCAATAATGAGTCCAATGTTTGTTGAAATAGACTATAACTATATATGAATTAATTCATTCAATTAGTCATTAATATCATATGAAACACTGGTCTGCCTTTCGGTGCACTCTTTGAATCCAATCGTCAGTATAGGAGAGACAGGAAGAGATGTATGGCTTAGTAGTGATGATGAGGTCTATTACAATGCATATGACCTGTACTTCTTGTGGGACCAGTTCTTCATAGCCTACTCTCCATGAGTTTGCATTGACTGTCAGTCAGATGTAAACATTACTTATGATATGATAGAGTAATACAGTAATCAATTCTACTATTCATGCAGTCTTTCAGTGCAATCGTGTCAATGCATTCACTCACACAATATGCCAACACTTTGAACACAATTCTCTATAAGACTCACAGTCATGACATTACGGTATCCGTAGTATTCTGGCAGAGAATGCAAGCTATGATCAGTTCAGGTGTACTTATACTTTCAAACTAAACCTGGCTCTTTTATTCTAGTTAAAGTAAATAATAAAAATTACATAAAAGGTTAACTGTTAAAACACTGAATCACTGATACACTAAATCTTAATTATTTTAATTTATGACGTAATTAAAGTTATATTCATCTGTACCTATAGAATATTTTTCAATGTACCGTTTATAAAATAACCAACCGCAGTGGTTAATTTGTAACGTTAGGATTTTACTATAGAATTAAAACAGAAATAAGTGTTTAAACTTTATAATTATTAACCGGTAAAAATAACTTCTCAAATCCAACTTTTATTTTTAATAATTTCTGTTTTGAATTTCTGCTAAAAAGGTTTTTAGTTATACATGAATTTGTTTCCCTCTTAATAATAACCAAGGTATTTAATATTAGAGGATAAATATTTAGGTGAACAAATACAATAGACTTACATATTTTTAGGTGAAAATCTATAAGTGGTCCATATAATTTTAAATTATTTTATTCTTATATTGTAAAAACCTATTTTAATTTTTTGTTGGTTTATACTTGGATCATACAGTACAGTATATTCAATTATTTACATAGATACAATCCTCGATTTGTCCACTCAAATTTTTCCTATTAAGTAAGATGAACAAGTAGTTTTACTAAATGTAAGGTAGATATCATATAAACAATTTTCTTAAAATATTAATTATATCAAAATATTTATTATCTCATAATTATAAATAAAATAAATATCTCATAAATAAATTCCTGATTGCAAATAACATAAGAATACTATTTTTCAATTAGAGGCACTTATTTGACATTGGAATCGGTTTTGAACATTCAATTAGGTTTACTATGATATAAAATTCACAAAAACATGTCATTCAAACTAATGAAACTGAAATAAATACATCAATACAAACACGGCTTAACATCTACTAATCCATTTCCATGTCTGTTTCTCGGTTAATCTTAACTAAAATCAAAATATATTATAAAATTATTGTTAAAATACATTAATATTAATAATTAATATGAATCTTGGTACAATATACTATACAAAAATTCACACAAACTTGAGTTTATAAAAAGTGCTGTCAAACTGTTGGCATTTGCTAGACGTTCCCAATAGACGTATGCAATGAATATAAGCGGGGATTTGTATGCATTGAAAATGGAGATGAAAATAATTGTAGACATTATTTGAATTAGCATCACTTTGAATTGAATGAAAAGTCATTTAAAAGCAATTGGATTACAGTCGCGAACAGTGGTTCACATCGAGTGAAGCCATCGATTGAGTGTTGAGTTGAAGTGAGCGCTCATTGGAGACGAAGAAGTGATGGAAAGGGAAGGCATTGGAAACGGTTTGGAGGAAAGGGTTGTACGAAATGTAGTGAACAATAGTGACGGCAATGAATGCATTGCTTTCAATGCAAACCATTCCTCCGATTAT